ACCGCGACGAAGACGTCGAGCGGCGCGGAGACGTCGCGGACCGCGACCGCCGCGGCGGCGCGAGATTCCGCGCGGGCTGCGTAATAAATTAATTTTCTCGCAGAGAGCCTTTTTCACGCGTAGAGATAGGCGCCTTCGTCCGCGGCGCACAACAGCATGTTGTGCCCGCACGCCGTCATCGACGTCACCGCGCTCTTCCTCCCTCCGCTCGCCTCCATCACGCGCTCGAGGACCCAGATCTGATCCCCGGAGCCGTCCAGGTCGCGGTACCCGTACGTCGCAACGCGGCCGTCGGAGAGACCGGCGGAGATTTTTTCCCTCGCCACGAGCAGCGCCTTGACGCCGACGCCCTTCACGTCGAGCGTCGCCGCGTCGACGGACGTCACCAAACGCGCCGCGATCGGCGCGGTCGCGATGTCCGGGACCCGCGGGTCCGCGCTCCAGCCGTACGTCGGGGGCGGCGGCTCCGTCGGTTCGGCGGCGGCGGCGGCGGCGGCGTCTCCGTCGGCGTCCGCCGCCGCCTCGTTCTCCTCATCCGTCGCCGTCGCCGCCGCCGCCGCCTTCTCTTCGACGACCCTCCGCCGCGCCCACACGCGCACGGACCCGTCGCCGCCGCCGCTCAAAAAGTACGCGCTCGCGTCCATGTCCTCCCACTCCTCCGGCGGCTCGCCCGGCGAAATCTCAACGCCGGTGGCCTCGTCGACGATCGGCTTCGGCGTCGGCCGCGGCGGCGGACACGCGGCGTGCTCGCCGAGCCACGCGAGGCACGACACCGCGCGTCCGGCGTGGCCGTCCAGCGTCGCCTCGAGCTCGAACCGGTACGGCGCGAGCGCGTCGTCTGAGTCTTCTTCGTCCGTCTTCCGCGGCGTCGGCTCGCCTTCTTCACCCTCCCCCGTCTCCGCCTCCGCCTCCGCCTCCGGCGGCGGCGGCGGCGGCGTCCCCGCCCACACCCTCACCCTCCCGTCTAAACACCCGGTGACGATCATATCTTTCCCGTCGCAATCGTCGTACCGTCGCAGCATGCACGTCACCCCTTCCGGGTGCGTCAAGTCCTGCTCCACCGCCGTCCCCGGCGCCTCGAGATTAATTATTCGAACGACGTGCGTCAAGTTTCCTCTCGCGCCGCACGTCGCCGCGCTCATCGCGATCGCGACGCGCGGCGGCAGCGCCTCCTCGTCCGGCGGCGCGTACGGCGTCGAGTACACGTACCTCCCCGGGCGCTCCTTGTCCTCCTCGTGCGCGCGGCGATGCAGAGGGAGGATGGCGTGGACGCGTCCGGCGCCGGCGGAGAACGCGGAGCCCGTCGCGGCGCGCCACGGGCCGTCGTACGCCGCGCGCGCCGTCGCCGCCGCGTCGATCGCGTCGCGAAGTTCTTCGTCCTCTCGCGAGGGCGGCGGCGGCGGCGGCGGCGACGACGCGGGCTCGGGCTCGGGCTCGGGCTCGGTGTCCCCCGCTCCCTCTCCGCCTCCGTCTCCTCCGTCCGCGTTCTCGTCCGCGTTCTCCGCGTCCTCCGCCGTCGCCTCCGTCGCCTCCGTCGCCTCCTCCGCTTCCTCCGTCTCCCGCGCCGGCTCCGGCGCCGGCGGGAACAGCCGCGGCGCGATCTCCTCGCCGTCCTCCCCCGGCTCGCGCGCCGTCGTGAACGCGCGCACTTCTCCGTCCACGCCGCCGGTGAGGATCCACCCGGCGGCGAGGCGCGCGACGGCGACGCACGGCGCGTCGTGCGCGTCGACGCGCTGCGCGCGAGTGAACGCGCGCCTCGGCGGCGCGTCGGCGTCGCTCCACGCGATGAGCTCGCCGTCCCACCCCGCGGTGAGGACGTGCTCGCCGTCGACGACGACGCCCGCGACCGCGCCGCGGTGGCCGCCGTCGACGCGGCGGTGTAGCCTGGCGAGGACGACGCGAAGCGAAGGCGGGCGACGGGCGGATGCCGTTTTAGGGTGAAGAGTGACGACGGGAAAAGTCCTTAAGGAACGGCGTTCACCACGCGAACGGGGTCGTATGGGAAGCAGTCTCACGGGGGGGATTGGATGGACGACGGACGAAAGGCGACGAGGGAGGCGCGAGACGAGGACGGATACCGACGACGACGACGCGGGCGGACGACGCGGCGACGGACCTGTTCACGAGCATCAGCGGAGCGGCCGACATCTCGCCGACGCGTCGCGGCCGGCGCGAGGCGGCGCGCGACGAGTGACGAGTCGAGTCGTGGTCGATCGAGCGACGAAGTTTTTTCTTTACAGTGTTTCAGTTCGTATTTCCACGCGCGGTTCTTCTTCTTCTCTTTCGTCGGGGTCCTCTCGTCGTCTCGTCTCGTCTCTCTCAGCGGTTCTCTCTCTTCACGTCGTCGTCGTCATCGTCGTCGTCGTCGTCGTCCTCGTCCTCGTCCTCGCCGTCCTCGTCGCCCTTCGGTCGCCGACCGACCGCTCACGCGGCCTCCGCGACGGCGGGCGCCGCCGCCGTCTCAGGCGCCAGCTGTGATAGGTCGAGGGAAAACACGTGTCAGTCACGCGTGCGTGTGATTGGTGGATAGAATCCCCACGTGTCAAAATGTGAGGTTCATAACGCGCGAAAGGAAAGAACGCCTTAATAAGAAACGACGATCGACACGCGAACGGGAGCGCATGCGTGGGAAGCGGCCTCGCCTTCGACGGCGGCGGAACAGGCGCGTCCGCGTCGTCCTCCGCCTTGCGTTTCTCCCCCGACGCGGGCTCCGCCTTCTCGGCCTTATCGGCCTCGGGAGCGGCCTCGGGAGCGGCGTCAGGAGCGGCGTCGGCGCCGGAGGCGGCCTCGGGAGCGATCGTGCTGTTGAACAGCGCCTCCAACGCCGCCTCGTCAGCCTTCACCTCGGAGGCGGCTGCGGCGGGCGCCTCCTTCTCCTCCTCGGAGGCGGCGGGCGCCTCCGCGGCGTCTTCCACCGCGTCCGCGGGCTTCGTCGGCGCCTGCGTCGCCGCGGGCGCGGAATCGTCGCGCTCGGAGTCGCACGGCTTCTCCGACGCCGTCGCGGCGGCGGCGGCGGCGTCGGCGTCGTCGGCGGCGGCGTCCGTCTTCTCGACGACCGCGGCGGCGGGCGGGGCGTCCTGCGGCGCGGGAAGCGGAAGCGCGCGCGCGTGCGCGGCGGCGCGGTGAGGGGTTCGGGTCGGCGTCGCGGTCGTCGAGGTTTCCGCGCGCGCGACGCCGCGCGGGTCGTCCGCGCGCGCGTCTCGCGCGACGGAATCGCGCGCGAGCGCGCGGGGCGCGCGCGGGGCGCGGCGCGCGCGCGACCGCGCTCCGGCCGCGCGCGCGGTCGTGGCTCGAGTTCAAACGCGCTTCCAGGGCGGTTCAAACGGGCGAGAGCGGGGGGGAGGGGCGTCGAGGGGCGCGCGCACCTCGACGACGGCCGCGGCGGCGGGCGCGTCGACGTTTTCCGGCTTGGTCGTCTCCTCGGCGGAAGCCTTCGATCGCGTCGCGCGGGGGGACATCTGTGCGCTGTGGGGTGGGCGGGGTGTGGGGCGTGTGGCGCGCGGGGGGAAGTGCGACGGGAGGCGAGCGCCGACCGAGAGATCAATCGTGACACAGAGATCGTGACACAGAGATCGATCGGCGCGCCTTGCCTTTGAAACGCGCGAACACTTCACGATGAAAACGCGTTTGAACCCGTGGCCTCCGATGAACGAATCGCGGTCGAATCCGGCGGGGTCATTCGTCAGGTCTATCCACAGCACGGCACGGCCGCGCGAAAACGTGCCGTGATCGAACGCGGTGCTGACGCGTCCGCGCACTCGACCCGCGCGCGCGTCGTCTTCGCCGCCGCCGCTCCTTCTCGAACGCGCCCCGTCGTTCGCACGTCGCTCGATACTCCCTCGTCCGTCGACGACTCAACCCCCCGCGCGCACGATGCAGTCCACGCTCGCGCGGCCCGCGTCTCTGGCGCGATCCTCCGCGACGCTGTCGTCGAGCGCGACGCACCGCGGGGTTGGGTTGGCGGTGACGTCCCCAGCGCCGCGCCTCGCGCGCCGCGGCGCGAACCGCGGCGTCGTGAAAGTCCGCGCCGAGGGTGCGTCGATCGCCCGCGCCGTATCGTCGCGCGTCCCCGCGCGCGATCCCCTCGCGCGGCGCGGGGGAGGCGATCCCCGCGCGCCGATCTCGCGCGTCGTCCGCGCACGTGTTACCCTCGCGCGATGAATGATAACACGCTGTTGCTGTGTGGATCGTCGGATCTATCTTCCTTCCGTCGCGCTGACCCCTCCCTCCTCCTCCTCCCTCCCCCGATCGTCCGTCTCCCGCGCGAAACGACGCGACAACAGCGTCCGAAAAGAACCTCGAGGTCATGCGCAAGTTCAGCGAGCAGTACGCCAAGGGCAGCGGGACGTACTTCTGCATGGACAAATCAGGCGAGTTCTATACACTGGTTCCCATACGACCGCGTCGGCGTGGTGAACGCCGATCCTTAAGGACTTTGCCCGGCGTGTCTCTCCGCCCACACCTCGCTTTCAATCCCCGCCCTCGACGCCTTTCAACTCCGCTTCTGACGCCTTTGAACTCCACCCCGACGTTCGCTTGTATGGAACGGCCCTCAGTCACCGCGGTCGTGATCCAAGGCCTCGCCGAGCACAAAGACACGCTCGGGTCGCCGCTGTGCCCGTGCCGGCACTACGACGACAAGGAGGCGGAGGTGAAGAGCGGGTTTTGGAACTGCCCGTGCGTCCCGATGCGGGAGCGGAAGGAGTGCCACTGCATGCTGTTCCTGACGGAGGACAACGACTTCGTCGGGGACGAGCAGACGATCACGATCGACGAAGTCGTGGAGCTCAGCGAAGGGATGATGTGATGACGTCATGAGACGTGGCGCGACGCGACGCGACGCGAGAAGATCGGATCGATCGCGGCGGATCGATCGATCGCGGCGGCCGGGGTATGAATGCGTACGATGAATACGATGAGTCGATCGGCACGGGCGATAACGGAGAGCGAACGGAGAGCGACGGAGAGCGACGCGACGCGTGGCCGCGGGTTTTAAAGTGAGACATTTTCTTTGAGAGACCCGCCGTCGGCCCGGACGCGACCTCTCGATCGACCTCGTCGCGCCGAGCTCGCGGACGGAAACGCGCGCGCGCGTCGAGCGGACAAAACAAACCAAAACAAAGCTCGCTCAATCTTGCATATACGTATATCATCCCTAACTAGGTTTCCCCTACCCTTCCCTCTCGGCGGGCGCGCCGCCGCCGCCGCGTATTTCATCCATCCGTCGTCGCGCCGAACGGCTGTAAAACGCCCGCCTCTCTCTTCGCGTCGTCGTCGCCACCGCGCGGCTTTCGCGGCTGCTCACGTCGTTCGTCGTCGCCCGTCGCTCAGAAGCACTTGCGGTGCACGATGGACGGACCGGACTCGTCGTACTCGCTCTTCGCGATCCACATCTGTTGGAACGTGCTCAGGCTCGCGAGGATGGACCCGCCGATCCACACCGAGTACTTCCGCTCAGGCGGCGCGACCACCTTGATCTTCATCGACGACGGCGCGAGCGCCGTGATCTCCTTCGACATGCGATCGGCGATGCCCGGGAACATCGTCGTCCCGCCGGACAGCACGATGTTGCTGTACAGATCCTTTCTGATGTCCACGTCGCACTTCATGATGGAGTTGTACGTCGTCTCGTGAATACCCACGGATTCCATGCCGATGATGGACGGGTTGAAGAGCACCTCCGGGCAACGGAATCGCTCGTCCGAGATGGTGATCACCTGACCGTCGGGGAGCTCGTACGATTTCTCGAGGCTCGACGACCCGTTCGCGACTTGCATCTCGTTCTCAAAGTCCAGCGCGACGTACGCGAGCTTCTCCTTGATATCGCGCACGATCTCGCGCTCCGCGGACGTCGTGAACGAGTACCCGCGCTCGGTGAGAATCTTCATGAGGTAGTCGGTGAGGTCGCGCCCGGCGAGGTCGAGGCGAAGGATAGCGTGCGGCAGCGCGTAGCCCTCGTAGATCGGCACCGTGTGCGAGACGCCGTCGCCGCAGTCGAGGACGATGCCCGTCGTGCGACCGGACGCGTACAGCGACAGCACCGCCTGGATCGCGAGATATCGGGGCGGAGTTCAAAGGCGTCAGAAGCGGAGATGAAAGGTAACGCGGTCGGGGATTGAAACCGAGGGACCCTGGGCGGAGAGATGCGCCGGGAGAGAAAGTCCTTAAGGATCGGCGTTCACCACGCCAACGCGGTCGTATGGGAACCAGTGTGAGATAGAACGCACCTGGATCGCGACGTACATCGCCGGAACGTTGAACGTCTCGAACATGATCTGGCACATCTTCTCGCGGTTCGCCTTCGGGTTAAGCGGCGCTTCGGTGAGAAGCACTGAGGGTCGTTCCATACAAAGCGACGTCGGGGTGGAGTTGAAAGGCGTCAGAAGCGGAGTTGAAAGGCGTCGAGGGCGGGGATTGAAAGCGTGGGGTGGGCGGAGAGAGACGACGGCAAAAGTCCTTAAGGAACGGCGTTCACCACGCCAACGCGGTCGTATGGGGACCAGTGTATAGAACGCGCCTGGATGCTCCTCCGGCGCTACCCGCAGCTCGTTGTAGAACGTGTGGTGCCAGATCTTCTCCATGTCGTCCCAGTTCGTCACGATGCCGTGCTCGATCGGGTACTTGAGCGTGAGGATGCCGCGCTTGGACTGCGCCTCGTCGCCGACGTACGCGTCTTTTTGGCCCATGCCGACCATGACGCCCTGGTGCCGCGGGCGACCGACGATGGAGGGGAAGACGGCGCGCGGGGCGTCGTCGCCCGCGAAGCCGGCTTTGACCATCCCGGAGCCGTTATCGCACACGAGCGCGGAGACTTCGCCTTCGTCGGCCATTGTCGCTGTGTATTCTGCGGCGAGGACGAGGAAGGATGGATATCGGAAGATCTTTTTAGTTTCTTTTCGAGAAGCGCGCGAGGCGAGTTTCGAGCGATTTTAGGCACCCGTTGGGTTTGCACGACGCGGAAAAGCCGCGCGGGGACGCGGCGGGGAAGCGCGCGGCGGCGACGACGCGCGCGCGTTCGCGGGCGCGAACGCGCGAGAGAGCGTCGCGA